TTTATTAAAAAAGCAATATTTTAATTTTTTTTGCCCGTATATTTTTGTTTTAAAAAAATTGAAATTGAAAAAAAAATGTATAGTTAGATTGAAAGAGAGTTATAAATAAAAAATGATAAATGTTTTTTTTAAAGAATAGTATAGTATTCCTCCCCAAAAAGTATGCACGTGAGACTGTAAAATATAGGTTTTAAATGCTGCGCAGTTTTTTTTGAAAAAAAAAACTGTAAAAAAAAATGTTAATATTTTGTTTATTAATAATTTTTCTATGCACTAATTCAAGCGGATTGTTTTTATTCACTACTAAAAAATGCTATTTTTTCGACACAAAAATTCCGTCGAAAATGATTAAAATTCTGTCAAAAATTTATTTTTGATGGAATAATCGACGAAAATGAAGCCGTCGAATATCTCTTCGTGGGTAACAATTTTTTCGATGGAAATAGAGATTCCGTTGAAATTTTTCAACGAAATTAATTTCCTTAGCACATTTTCGGCGAAATAATTTTTATGAAAAGTTTCAACAAAAAAATAATTTCGTCGAAAAATGAATGAAATTTCGTTGAAAAATCTTGTAATAATTTTTTACGGAAAACAAATTCCGTCAAAAACTATTGCCTCAATTTTTGAAAGAATTGATTTTTCATCAATTTTTTTTTTTAATTTTCTCTCTACAAAATTAATACCAATTTATGTTTTGCACCTGATAAACAAATATAATGAAAGAAAATAACATATCAAAATCATATGATCTTAATATAATTATGTGTACCAAAGTCTATGTTATATAGTAATGAAAAGAATCTGATTTTGACAGACATATTTTATAAGGGTTTTCGACGAAATTCGTTTTCAGTCAAAAAAATTCGACAAAATCTAATTTCCGTAAACATTTTCGATCGAATCTGATTTTCGTTGAAAAATTCATAAATATAATTTTTTTAAATTTATTTTTTTATAAGGGTTATCGACGGAATCTGATTTCGGTAAAAAAATTCATAAATATAAATTTTTATTTATTTAGTTTTTTATATGGGTTTTGACGGAATTCGATTTTCGTCGAAAATTTTCCACGAAATCTGATTTTTTTCAAAAAATTCATAAATATAATTTTTTATTTATTTATTTTTTTAAAGGGTTTTTAACGGAATTCGTTTTCCGTCGAAAATTTTTGACGCAATCTGATTTCTGTCAAAAAAATCATAAATATAATTTTTTGATTTATTATTTTAAATGGTTTTCAACGAAATTCTTTTCCGTCGAAATTTTTTGACGAAAAACAGATTCCGTCGACATTTTTCGATGAAATTTTTTTATAGAAAAAGAAGTCCGTTGAAAACTTTAAAAAAATATGATTTTTGATGGAATATTTTCGTAGAAAAAAACGGAATATGCTTTCCGTTAAAATTTTATCTGACAAAATATTTTTCGTCAAAAATTTTGACTTTTCTAATAATAAAAGGGTAAGATCATTAGAAACAAACTTTCTTATATCATCTGAATTTATGTCATAAAATTTTGTCCTACTGTAAACAGCAATGCATAAGTAATTAAGTTATTGTTGACGCATATAATCTCACAAATAGAAACATACAAGGAAGGTCTACTTTGGGGAATCTTTTGAACACTGACAAGTCATTCTGTGACTTATTTGTATATTCAATTTTTCAATTTTTTGTTGTAATTTTTCATTAGTATGCCGTCTATAATTAATTACCGTAAGGTTTGGCTAAATCTTATATATTACATATCCTAACTTTGGAGATGGAACAACTTTTCCTCTTTAAGAGTGGAGTTAAAAAAAAAATCAATAAGGTTCATCCGAATAATCTTTTTTTTTTTGGAAACACATCCGAATAATCTTTAAAGCATAGATATTAAGTCTGTGGACTAGACCGAAGCGTCAAAAAGCCAAATAAAAGTTTGATATATTATTACAACATAGAAACAAGGGAATCAAATGCCTCTCAACACATAAATATGCGCACGTTATGTTTATTAGGGGTCAAAATAACTTCAAATTCAACCTTGAAAACACATCAAAATATATGAACAGTATAGCATGTCTGATCTATTAATAGTCACGTAGATATGTATACATTTAATCTATGAAGCACCGACACTTCAAATATCCTGACGTGTCGTGTTCGACACTTCTCGATACTCTTCGACACTCCGACACTTCCCGACACTCCAACACGCGTAATAGAAATTCAAAAAAATGTTCAAAGGTTACGTTGCGTTGAGTTTTTAGTTCCAACTATTAGATTTGATGGATTAGGATTACTATTTTATTGAGTTTAATATAAATATTTGGGATATCTTATGTTTCTTTGCAAAATTTATGGATATTATAAGTTTAGTTTAATTTTTTTGTTAAATTATTAAATATTAAATATAATATATAACACATAAATTAAAAATATTATTTAATATCAAAACATGTCTTAATGTGTCGAAATCTAACATTTTTTAAAACTATCGTGTCGGAGTGTCGTGTCGTGTCACGTATCCCGTGTCAGTATCAGTGTTACATAGCATTTAATCTATGAATGTTAATTTGTACAATTGTACTGAATGAGAATTGTTGTGTGGACATCTTAATCTTGAGTTGTGCCAATACTTTTTTTTTTTATATATACAACCGTGATACCGAGGTTTGAATCTACAATTAACCTCATACAAATTACCCAAACCCTTTACCACTAGAACAATAATCTCATGTCTACTTCATGCCAATACCTTTTAATATATATGATTTTATTGTTATAGATTAAAAAAATAAAGATATTGACACAAGACCACGCCCTTACTTATTCTTGTGTTTTAACAATTCATTTGAAACAGATATTGAGTAGATGCCATATACATTGGAAATTGCAAACAAAATCTGTGGGGGAAATATGATCATAATCAGTTTTCTTTCTATTTTTTGATATATATATTACATAAATTTTTCATGTCGTCAAAGACGTTAATTGTACTATAAATTACTATACTCCTACAATCTCTTTCTATGTCTAGTCAAAATCTAGGATGCTTTTCTTAGTAAGGAACAGTAAGGTCTTGGTGCCAAAAAAAAAAAAAACTCCGCGCGACATAGTTAAGACATATTAAGCTTAATTGAAAAGATACCTGAATCATTTGTCTATCTCTTTCACTCCCTTTAATTTTATTTGTAAGATTTGGTGGGATATATAAGTGTTTTTCTTCCTTTTGTCAAGATAATCATTTGGAGTTTACGCATATTTTGTTTATCCCTATAATGTTTGTTTATCTATTTTTAATGAAATAATAGTAATAATAATAACAATCAAGATTTCATTAGTTAATTTCAATAAAAAAAATTAATTACTTCACGTAAGAGATACATGTCACACTTTAATTCATCCATGTTAAATGAGAGAAACGAGAGTTTTATTATAAAGTAATAATATTTGACGTCAAAAACACAGATTCAAACGCATATTTTCTCTACTTTTAGTTTTTCAAACAAGTAAAACGTAAAAATAATATATGATTTTTTTCTTATTATGTATTGAGGGATAAACTAGATATATCATGTATTCTATACGGGGGGAATCATATGTTCACTTTAAATAAAGTATTTGCATTTAATCTTAAATAGTGTATTAGATTTCTATATGGGAAAAGTGTGTACCATGTTAAAGGAGGTAAAATTGTGTCATTTTAAGTGAGAAAAAGAGATAGATAAAGGAGGAGAGAGAGTAGACAAAAAAATAAAGGTATAGGTTTTACCTCTTTATGAGAGTAAAATGACACAAGTTGTGCCATTTAAAATGACAAATATTTTTCAATTTTTATATATACACATAATTTTATGAATTTATTGAAAAACGAATAAAAATTTTAAATATATATTTTGTACAAATTAAATCGTGGCATAATTTTAAATCTTATACAAGAGAAATTTCTTAGAAAAAAATAAGCATCTATCATTTATTATGATTTTTTTTTTTTGGTACATTGCCAGGAGGTATCCTCATTCAACCTTCTCCGGACACCATGCCCTCGGGGTACGGCCCGTTTGGGCTAGCCCCTCATTGTAACAGTAGGTGCACTAAGCTTCGCAACCGGAGAAAGGACGAGACTAATCTCCCAACCGAAGATTTTTGGCTTATCCTCTGGCCCCAAAATTTTTTCCAATAAACTGCTTGAGGCAGGGTTTGATCCCTGCACCAAGCAATCCCTTGGGAGCTCAGCTGCCAACTTGGGGGTTTATGATTTTTATTTTTATTTTTAAACAACATACCTGCTTGTTATTACAATAATAAAAGAAAGTTTATTATTTATACATGCACTAACAAATGCATATTATTCATTGAGATTTAACTAGACACTCGTGACTTCACTTTCCCTTTTATATATAGTTATTTTTTCTCAGTAAATTAGAGTTTAAATTTTACTGAGTTATATTTATAAACTCTTACAAATAATATTATGTACTCTTGAAAATATATTATGTTATACTATATATTTAAGAGTACATAATATAATTTATAAAAAAAAACTGTAAACGAATTCTCCCTTAATTTTATAACATATTTCATATAAAAGAATTCCTTTGAATATATATATTTTTTCCTGTTTTCCTTAATTTTTATATAATGAAAGTGAGAAGTGGACAAAGCTAGTGTCAGAAATTAAAGTTTGATGTTTTTGAATAGAAAGAAAAAGTTAAAAAGGGTAAATTAGGAGGGGCATTACAGTCAACTCAAAAGGAACTGTCATTCAAGTCTACAGGGTCAAGAAACAGAATCATGTTATTCCCTCATTTTTACCCCTTCAAACTTTTTCCTGTCTCCATCCAAACCTACTGTCCAACCCCTTCTTTCCTATTTCCTCCAAAGCCCTAAGCTCCTCTCTCTCTCTCTCTCTCTCTCTTACCTAACAGCACAACACAAGAAAGAATATAATATAACCATTAACAAGTGATGCTGAAAGTTTGAGTTTGCTCCACCCTTTTAAGGTAAAAACCCAATCCCTTGACAATCTCAGAAATCAAAGCTACTAAAAAAATCCAACTCTGCCACAGCTATATAGCCATAGGAGCTTTCTAGTATATATTTCTCAATAAACACTTACTGCTGCAAAGAGCAAAGAGGAACAGGTCACTCTCACTCAGTCACTCCCCATTAATCTCATCACATTCTCAACATCAAAAAATTCTTCTTTTGCTTCACCATTTGCAGGTACATATTCTCTCTCTTAAAATAAAACACAAAAAAAAAAAAAGTCAGTAATTATACCAATCACCAATTCAGAGTTTGTTTCCTTTCTTTCTTCTTTATTTTTATTTTTCCCCTTCAAGGTTGTTGTACATGTTTTCATTTACAGTAACTTCAAAAGTGAAAAAAAACATCAACAAAGAAATTATTCAGATCATAAAAAGACTGTTCCTCAACTGTTGTCGAAATTATAAGTATAGTAACTCTATATCTCTCAATTAACCTCCATCTCCTCAACACTCTCACTCTGGTCACTGTCTTAGGAACCCTAGAACGAACCACAACCCAGCAAAGTATTGTAGGTTGTAGCAAAAAAGAAACACAAAAGTCAAAACAACCTTGGATCTGAAAACCTTAAGGGTCAAGCTTCCCCATGGATTCAATTCAAGAATTTATAGGCACATGTAACTCTGACAACACCTGCAATCTCACCAATAACACCACCGTCACCACCTTAGCCGCCAGTGCTAGCTCTTCCTCATCACCTTCTTCCACCGCCACCAGCAGCCGCTACGAGAACCAGAAGCGCCGTGACTGGAATACCTTTGGTCAGTACCTCAAGAATCACCGTCCCCCTCTTTCCCTCTGCAGGTGCAGCGGTGCACATGTTCTTGAATTTCTCAGGTATATATAAATATATATATATATATAATATAATGCCCTCTTCTCTAACAAAACTTCATTGCAACCGATGCAATAAAATCTAGTGCAACGGTAGTTCATTTATCTTAAGATACGCAGACGGATTTTGAAATTCTAAAATTTTATACAGGATCCATCTACGTATACTAAGATAAATGAACAATCTGAGTACATCGGTTGCACCGAAGATTTTCCCCCTCTTCTCTTAGTTACCATGCATCTTTCTCTCTAACTCTCTCTTTTTCTCTCTCCATATACATATATATTTATTATTATTGTTATGTGTATAGGTACCTTGATCAATTTGGCAAGACAAAAGTGCACACACCGATTTGTCCCTTTTATGGTCACCCGAACCCTCCAGCTCCTTGTCCATGTCCTCTTCGACAAGCTTGGGGAAGCCTTGATGCTCTCATAGGTCGTCTTCGTGCAGCTTTTGAAGAAAATGGAGGCAAACCTGAGAACAATCCATTTGGAGCTCGAGCTGTGAGGCTCTACCTTCGTGATGTTCGCGATCTGCAATCCAAAGCAAGAGGGATTAGTTATGAGAAGAAGAAACGAAAGCGTCCACCACCACCACCACCACAACAACAACAACAACAACAACAATCGTTGTCACTACCTCATCTTCATCATCACCACCAGCTTCCACCACCAGGTGCAACTCATTAGTGGAATTCTCATTCCATGGAAAAATCTACTCTCTCTTTCAAAAGAGAGATTTATTATCTTTATCTCAATGCTTTTAGAGTCATGCTCTAATTTAGTGTCATATTTAGGGTTTTCTTTTTCTTTCTTTTTTTCTTATTTGGTGGTCCACTTAGACTGTTTTGTCTTTGGATCCTGTTTGCTCTGGCAGAAGCAAAAGATGAAAAATCTGGGATATCATGCATCTGCTTTTAAAGCAGACAGTGCGGTACTGGTAGTAGACTGATAGTTGGAGTACTGAAAAAGTGTTAGTGAGAGTGAATGTACATGGAGACCATGATCTGTGTGAGTTGTGAGGAACTTAAAGCATGGCATTATTCATAGCTCTAGCTATATGTGTACTCTTCAATATCATCTATGACAAGTTTAAACTTGCAGATTATGTGCCTTTGATGATACTTTACTTTTTTTTATATCATTTTAATTTTCTATTTTTAAAGGGTTAGAATTTTACTATATTTGCTAGCAATTATATTCGATGCCACTAATAGTTTGTTTCAACTTTTGAAGCTACAGCTAGGTAAGTCACTTCCACTATTAACATTATTTGATTTTTCTGTTTCGCATATTGATGATTTTTTTATTTATTTTTTGTTATCTAAAAAATTGAGTAGTTCTAGATATTAAAAATAAAATGAAATTGAGTAGTTAGTTCTCTTTTCTTAGTTCCTTTTTTTGGTCCCAGTTGCCACTACTTACCGCTTTACTGTCTCCGCCAAATGTATTTTTTGCGGAATGATAGAGCCCAAAAAGCTTCATCATCATAAGTTCTGTTTCAAACTGACAATTTTTATTCTCTTTCCCATGGAGACTAACGGCTGACCGTTAATTAAATAGATCAATTTGATTGATGATACTGAATCATATATGTAGTAGTGCCGTCATTTCAACCAAAGGGAAATTAAATTATAAATTAAAAACAAAAGAAAATTAACCTCAGACAATATAATTAATTTCTCAATGACTAAACCTCTCCATCTATTAGCTTAATATATTGTATACCATCCTAATTAATATCTCATATATGTTTGTGCAAGCTCTATCCAACCAAAATCTCTTCCTAGATCATGATGCCGTTAATTCACTTGTTTTCATTTGAATTAGGTTATGTCTGCTTGATTAAACTCAGCTTGTGGAAGAAAAAAAAATCATGAATGATAAGACAATTAGAAATATGTTTGGATTTTCACCCTAGCTTGATGAAGTAGTTGGGAATAGAAAGCTTATTAAATTCTAATCAAATACTTGGCTTCTTCTAGCTAATTAAGCAAACTTGCATTGACAGGAAAGAGAATATACTGCAGATAGAATAGTAGAATGAAAACGTGAGCAGGAAGAATAATAGATAGATAGAAAGTACATAATGCAAGTATAACTTAGTTTATTTATATTCAAATTAGTTTATAATTAAAAATTTATCAAAACAACTTTCTTAAAATAATATTTTATCTCTATAATTTTCTTAGTCAATTTGGCCGACAGACCTGTCTATAAATAATTATATTTTGGGTCATCTATCCACTTTGTATTATATGTTACTTTTTTTTTTCTCAAAAGGAAGAATTTTCAGCAATCCCTCTGATCATGAAGAGGCAGGCACCTATTATACCTCCATTTAGCCAAGCAATTATACCCAATAGGACACATGATATATGCTGGAGAGAATAGCTAACCTTCTTATTTTCCCTTTTGAAGTGATTAATTATAGTGGGGTATATATGAGACTACCACTAAGACATAAAGGATCTATTCCTTCCTCTAATCATTTAGGTATATATTTCATAAGTTTAGACCTCAGGTAGTTTCTATTTATACGAGGGCTATACGATTAAAGCATTAGCTTTATGATGCCATCATTAATTTGTTAAATAATCAGTTGTCATTGCAGTTAACATCGTACTAGATTTAAGTAGACACTTATTATTTTATTATTATTGTTTGATTCCTCATTTCGAAAAATTGTCCATGGGAACATTGATACTGAAAAGTATTTATGGAATTAGTTTCTTTTTTTTTTAATATTTCTCGCATAATTTTGCCCAGCCGTGATATTTATGGAATTAATATGTTGAACATCTGTTTTTTAATAATTTATCCCGCACCCATAATAAAGTCTCACCCCTCCATTTTAAACACGGCATCCTACATGGGTGATCAATCTTAGGGTTTTTAAATTTTAGAGGAAGGCCAAATAATGTGTTTTGTACTTTTTTTATAAATAGTTTTATATAAAAAACATCATTTATTTGATTTAATTATATATGTGTGCACGAGTACATTCTTTTTTAAAATAATTAAATATATAAAACCTAGACTTATTTAATCTATATATATATATATATAGTCTATTTCCACAACCGCTTGTGGACAATTAAACAAGAAGTTTTAGTTTTTAAAATGTAAATTAATAGAAGTATGTGCAAATTTTAGGCATTTACAAATATGAAATACTAAAAAATGTGATGAAATTAAAAGAGTATATACAAAATTTAAGTATATAGAGTACTATTCTTTCTAAATCAAGTTAAGGCTGAATCATTACATACTAGCATCTTTTACCAGACGAATTATATGAACTATAGACAATATTAGAATCCTTGACACTATTCAACAGATTGTACATATACTTATTCTATCAGCTGCCTCTAATTTTTTTTCTTTGGATTAAAATTTATTTTGATTTTTTTAAAGAAAATATTATATTTTTTTTGTAATACAGAAAATATTATATTAAATATTACAAATTAAGTAATAAAAAATATAAATTTTGAAAAGAAAGAATTTTTTATTTATATTTTCTATTACTCAATTCATATAACTTTTTTAAAATAATCCAATATACTTACTCTGTAAAGAGAATACGACTAATGAAATCATTTATTTTTCTTGCTGCCCAACATGAATATATTAAGGGATCCACCTTTTCAACTAATAAAGGAAAAACCAAATCCACAATCTTTTCAAATACCCGGGGATTTCTTACTACGAAAATGGTCTTAACTTAAGCTTTGCTATTCATTATTCTAGAATGAAATAATTGGCCCAAACAAGTGAAGATATTGGGATTGTCCTTTTGCTTTTAGCATTGAATTGGGATTTGTCAATATTGCGCGTATCTTCGAAACAAATACTATATGGGGCTTTAGCGTTTCTTTTTCGATCACTTACTCTAAATAAATAAATAAATTTTATTTTTAAAGAATGTGAATTTAATCAGCTAAATTATATTGTGTTTTCTTGATAATTGATTGATGATATCAATTTATTAAAAATATATTACATATTAAAATAAAATGGTACAATAAATAATTCATTATTTTTTAAATTATGAAATTTTGGAAACTTGATATGAATTTTCAGTTAAACAGTGAAATTGATAAAATTTAATGTAAAAAGATTATTAAATAAAATAAATAGTTTGGTCATTTATAATGTACAATATAGTACGTCATTTTCTTTCTAAAAGTTAAAGGTCATTGAAACTCTTCCCTTTTAAAGTTGAATGATTCTTGCTGCACTTTTTTGGTACAGCCGCTGTATATACAAAAAAATTTCCTTGCTGCATATTTCTAAACCTCACATTCTCCAAATGGTAGGTAGAGCTGTGTAGATATACAAAAAATAGGAACATCAATTATAATGAAACTGCGTATTAAATAGATATCAAGTGATGTGCGTATATCATTATTATTTGAAGTTGGAACGGATTATCTACAAGGATTGAGGATTCGTGGTGAAATTATGTATGACTTGATTAAAATTGTATAAATATGATGGTCTCCAACGAGTGAAATTTCAACCAAATTGCCTATTCAAGATAAAAGTTTGATTTTATATTAATAGTAGCTTGTAAAATATTAATTTATTTGCAAACACAAAATTTTTGTTCTTATCATAAAAAAATAATAGAATAAAATCAAAAGTAAAAAATATGAAAAAAGTTATATTTACAAACTTTTTGTTTACAAACTCAATTATATATTCTGGGGAATGCACATTTAAGTATTTGTACTCCCGGAGTACATAGTTGAGTTTGTAAACAAAATTTTTTTAAATATAAATTGTCCCAAAAAATGTATTAGCTATTTTAAAACACTTTGACTTGCTTTTAAAAAAATTCAATTATTTTATATAAGTCGTACTAACTACTAACGCATGCAAGAAATAAAGTTAATAAGACTATAACTCAAGCGTTTCTTGAGAGATATTGAGGAAAACTTGGCAAAATGCATAATTAGCAACCTACTCTTCCATGGATTTTATTGAGGAAGATCAGCAGATGCAAATTTTGAAAGTATAAAAACACTCCCATGTCTGGACCTTCTTGAGGACATGCATTTGATCATTGAAGCCAAGGTATAGGTTTAGTAGATGGGTTTTATGATTCATTTGATAAACATATATTTAGAAATGGGAAGAGTAGAATGAATGCGTATCATCATATGGTTATTCAAAAAAAAAAAAAAGGAAGAAATTCTTATGCTAAAAAGAGAAGGGAAACATAATAGAAGATTGTTATAAGTCTTCGACATAACATGAAACACCCGTTGTAAAACAACGGGTATGACTTCAAAATTTGATAAGACAAAATTCAATTCATAAAGGATTGGATAAGTAAAAAGTCATTGAATATATCCTTCAGACTCCTGGTACATAGAAAAGGTTGTAAGGGGATGATAGTGTTTTTTTTTTCATGAGCTAAACATTGTATAATCCCTTAAAATTGCACAATTTTTATACAAGTGATCGTCTTGTCATACTTTTCTAACAAAGAAAAATAACCAACATTGACTAAATGTGATAATCCTTTTTACAAAAGTCATGAATGTGCATAAAATATTTTTTTGAATCAAATTGATTTTCATTTGTGAAATTTATGTATAAGAGTCAGAATTATTGAAAAATGATTTTAATACGTTTTAAACATGTTTTAACCTTATAAACACTTTTCTAAAAGCCAATTATACATTTATATAATGTTAGGAGCCATTTGAAAATGAAATGAGTGTAAAAAATGCGTTTCTAACTATTTTTTATTTGTTGTCAAGAAGTATTTGAATATTTTCCTGCAGGAAAGAAAGTATTTTAATACACAATAAAGTATTTAAATACCTTGTTATCAGAGTGAATATAACTACAATAAATGACTAGGTTTTAATGGAAACACTATATATCAATTCCCAACAGCTAGCTCTAAAATGTTTTAAACACTATTCTAACATATCTTGAGCATATGTTGTGATCATTTACATATTTTTAAATCTCTTCCAATTAAAGATCATACATATTTT